GAACCAGCGGGATCAGAAGATAGCGTCGCGTTTGAGAACCGGTCACATCAAGATCTTGCACAATTTCGGTGGAACGCCGTTCCACAGGACTTGCGTCGGTTGTAGAACTCCAGCCTCAATCGAGCACATTCTATGCGTATGCCCTCAGTATCAGAACCTGCGGGAATTCCACGGCAACAGTAATGCGTTTTTTAAAGGATGCTGCATTGTATTTTAAAGTTTAGTCTTTTTTAATTCCTTTCGGCTGTTGGGACGTCTCTGCCTGGTGGGGGCCCTCCCGGTTCCCACGGTGTGGAACGTTGTCTTATTCAGATTTTAATGTTGTGTCTTTAAAAGTTACCGTCAACGTCAATAAACAACTACGATCGCAGGGGGATCTGTCATTTTCAGCGTTGTGGAGGTCATGGTTGCCAGTAAACATTGTATGGTTACCGCTTGACGTTCTGACAGCTCGTTCGACACAGAAACACTATCTGACACCTAAAACACACAAGAAACACAATCAGCACAGTCACAAGGTGGCAGAGTGAGTTACCCCTTGGTCATGCGCAAACTTTACCTCCTCTTCTTGCATCTTACATACACAAATTATTTTAATATCTCATAGTTTCATAATTCCGAAGAACACAATTTTAGCTGTAATGAGCATTTGCAAGCTTGATTTCAATCAAGCAGAGTTTTTCCAAGTGAGATTCTGGTTTTATGTTAAACAATGTTTTCTACCAAGAATCATTTGCAGACTTCGAACTTACTTCAGTTCCACCGGAATCAAACACCTCAATGAACCTGGCAATGTATAGACCGGCAATCGGGTCAAACCGCCTGCATGCCGCATCGACAACGACTCTCGGGGTATGGTAGTTCGAAGTACATTTTCCCTCGCAAGGATATCCACAAAGCCACCTGGAGATCACCTGACCAACACACAGAAAACCAAATCGATCACGTTCTAATCGACGGGAAATTCTTCTCCGACATTATCTACGTCCGCACGTACCGCAGTGCGAACATAGATTCGGACCACTACCTAGTTGCAGTATGCATGCGCTCAAAACTCTCGACGGTGCATAACACCCGTCGACGTCGAACGCCGTGACTCAATATTGAGCAATTACGGGACGCCGGAGTTGCCCAGGACTACGCGCAGCAGCTGGAAACTACCCACGGAAGAGCAGCTTCTCTTGAAGATGGCTGGAGCGACATCCGTTCCGCCATAGGTAGTACTGCTGCAGCGGCACTAGGTACTGCAATCCCGGACCGAAGAAATGACTGGTTTGACGGCGAATGCAAACTGTTAGTAGAGGTGATGAATGCAGCACGGGCGAGAATACTGCAACACCGAGATTGAATGTGGTGCGATACAGACAAAACTCGGTATTCCGAAGGAAGAAGTGTCAGCAGGAAGACCAAGATCGCGAGGCGATGGAAAATCTGTACCGCGTAAACGACACACGACAAGTTCTACGAGAAGCTAAATAGTTCGCGCAAAGGCTACGTGCCGCAGGCCGATATGTGCAAGGACTTGGGACGGTAACCTTCTCACGAACGAGTGTGAGGTGATTGAGAGGTGGAAGCAGTACTATGACGAGCACCTCAACGGTGAAGCAGCAGAAAACGAAGGTGGCACGGCAACAGACCTTGGAGCACGCGCAGAAGACGACAGGCTACCGGCCTCTGATCTTCAAGAAGTTGAGGAGGAGAGCGGTCGGCTGAAGAACAACAAAGCAACTGGTGTAGATCAACTACCAAGTGAGCTATTAAAATACGGTGGTGAAGCGCTGGCTAGAGCGCTACACTGGGTAATTGCCAAGACTTGGGAGGAGGTGATATTACCGGAGGAGTGGATGGAAGGTGTCGTATGCCCAATCTACAAAAAGAGCGACAAGTTGGATTGCTGCAACTACCGCGCGATCACACTGCTGAGCGCCGCCTACAAGGTACTCTCCCAAATTCTATGCCGCCGCCTGCCACCATTTGCAAGAGAGTTCGTGGGGCAATACCAGGCGGAATTCATGGGTACCCGCGCTACCACGGACCAAATTTTCGCGATTCGGCAGGTTCTGCAGAAATGCCGCGACGTGCCCACACATCATTTGTTCATCGATTTCAAATCGGCATACGACACAATCGATCGAGATCAGTTATGGCAGATTATGCACTGGTGTGGATTTCCGGATAAACTGACGCGATTGGTCAAGGCGACGATGGATCGAGTGATGTGCGTTGTCCGAGTATCGGGGACACTCTCGAGTCCCTTTGAATCTCGAAGGGGGTTACGGCAATGTGATGGACTCTCGTGTCTGCTATTCAACATCGCGTTAGAAGGTGTGATCAGAAGAGCTGGGATAGGCACGAGTAGCACGATCTTCAGGAAGTCCATCCAGCTTCTTGGCTTCGCCGATGACATTGACATCATGGCACGAAACTTTGAAACGATGGCGGAAACGTACATCAGACTGAAGGCTGAAGCTAGACGGATTGGACTTGCCATCAACGCATCAAAGACAAATACATGAAAGGAAGAGGTCCTAGGGAAGACAATGTTAGCCTCCCACCCCGAGTTCAGATTGACGGTGACGAAATCGAGGTGGTCGATGAGTTCGTGTATTTGGGCTCACTGGTGACCGCCGAAAATGATGCCAGCAGAGACATTCAAAGACGCATTATGGCAGGGAATCGTGCCTACTTTGGACTCCGGAGGACGCTCCAGTCGAATAAAATTCGCCGCTGCACGAAGTTGACTGTCTACAAGACGCTGATTAGACCGGTGGTCCTCTACGGCCACGAGACCTGGACTATGCTCATGTAGGACCAACGCGCCCTTGGTGTTTTCGAACGAGGAGGACAACAATGCCTTAGCCTGATTGGTAAGGTAAGTATGTTCGGAATAACTTCGGAACCACTGAATCGCTTTAGAAAGTACAGAATCACTTCCAAAAGTACTGAATTACTCCAGAAAAGTTTGGAATCACTCCGGAAAGTACTGAATCAGTCCACAAAGTTTGTAATCACTTCGGCAAGAACTGAATCACTTCGAAACGAATTGAATCACTTAGGAATGCACTGAATCACTTCAGAAATGTTCGGATTTATTTCGGAAGATCGGAATCGCTTCAGAAAAAGTAGCAATCATTTCGGGAAGCACTGAATAGGTAATTTCACAAAGTACTGAATATTTTCTGAAAGTATAGAATCGCTTCAGAAAAATTCGGAATCACTTCAAAAAGTACTGAATCACTTTAGATAAGTTTGGAATCACTGCAGAAGTACTAAATCATTCCACAAAGTTTGTAATCATTTCACCTTCGGAAGTACTGTATCGCTTCAGAAAAGTTCATAATCTCTTCGGAAAGTTTCAGTCTGAATCATTTCACAAAGTACTGAATCACTTCAGGAAATTTCAGAATCACTTAAGAAAGTAAGGAATCACTTCAGAAACGTTTGGAATAACTCCGGAAAGTACTGAATCATTCGAGAAGTTTTGTAATCCCTTCAAAAAGTACTAAATCACTTCGAAGAGAACTGAATCACTTGAGAAAAGTTTGAAATCGCTCCAGAAAGTACTGAATCACTACAGAAAAGCTCGGAAACTTTTGAATTGATTCAGAATAGAACTTTTAGAAATTATTTCGAATTTTTATAAAGTGATTCAGTGTTTTCCGTAGTGAATTTCTGAAAGTAGTGAAAGTAGTTAATTTCTGAAGTGACTCCGAATATTTCTAAAGTGATCTAGTACTTTCCTACGAGATTTGGAACAGTTGAGTCCCAAAAATAAATGAATTGAAAAAAGTCATAAAACATCCTTGACCAGGCGATAATACACAGCAAAAAAGTTGTTGAATATTACATCGAAACTGCTGCAACCAGGTGTAATATCACATTGTACGATGTACATCGATTTTGCGAACAAAATTACATCCATTCTCGCGTCACCTTTCAAATAGACCAATCTACATTGATCGATTCTCTTCAACTCAACGACTCTCTCTTTTGTTAATAACTTAGCTGAATTCATATTTCGGGCAAATTTGTCTACATAGTCTGTTAAAAGAAAGTATTATCAAGCGTATAGGACGATAAGATCAGCTGAACATACTTTTGGAGCCGAGTTATTAACGAAAGAGAGTCGTTGAAAAGAATCGATCAATGTAGATTGGTCTATTTGAAAGGAGACGCGAGCATTGATGTAATATTGTATCTGCTTTTTGCTATTACATCATTATTTCATACATCAGCATGAATTACGTTGATCGATATTACTTTTTTTTTTGCTGTGTAGGGCATATCATTGTACATGATCCTCACTACCGAAGACATGCAAAAAGTTTTAGTCAAATCGAAGAAGATTGAGTTGGGTCATTTGTTCATCTGCCACAGAATTGCTTTGATTAACAAAGATAAAAACCAAAAATGGTGCACTAATGTAATGCATCCCTGGTTAACATAAGACTTTCGCATATTTTACAAACAAAAATAATCAAATAATCTACAGCGATCTTTCTGCTCAAACCAGTGCTGAGATTTGTCATTGTCATTGACAGACTTTTACGCGATATTGACAAAATTGTTTTTCACATAGTCAATGATAGACTTGATCCTCAAAAAAATCTTTTTCAAAATCTCATTCATTTTTTCGTCAATGACAAAGATTCACCTGGTAACAGAAAGGGTAATTTCTTGCATTCTGAGACACATTATTGTTATCCAAGCTGTTCAGGCCGTAGATGGTTGTTCACTTAAATGGCTCCATGTAATTGTTTTCCTCAAGCCATTTAATTTCATTTTAAATTTAGCTAATAAAAAAATCAGCACATGTTCGTCACTGACAATTGACATGGTTTGCCTTGACGATGACTGTTAGCTCAAACGAGTGACCAAAGCAGAATTTTGAGTATCACCGTGTATTGTCGAAATTGTGCAGCACTGGCTCAAACCGCATTGTTAACGTTTGCGAGCTATAAAATATCACTGTCGAATTATCAAAGTTAAATAACACTTACTAGCTCGGTGTGATCTTCGAATCCAGCAGATTAACCAGCAACTCCGCTGCTTGAGCCATCGATCGCTCCAGGAAGAACTGGCGGAAGTCGTAGTACTTGACCAGGAAGATCAATCTCGGCGAGCAGAACATCTTCGCTCCAATGTTGGCAATCACATCCTCACACATGATCTCGCCGTGGTTACAATAGTGTTCCAAGAAGATGTTCGCCACTGCCGTCACATAAAAGCTATCTCTGGAACGGATGGCCCACTCAAGGGCATTACCGTATTGTTTGTTGGTCAGGTTACGCTTCACCAGCACTTTGCAAATTTCGCTCTCCACGCCGGCAAAATCATTCTTCTTTGCGACGTTGATTAGCTTCATTGCCTGTTTCTCGTTTTTGATAGGAATTCTACCTAATAGGGCTTCGCGTGCTCCCAGGCCTTCGGTGCTGGAGAATTCTAGGTAGTCCAAACCGGCTTCCCAGAGTGAAGAGTTCCGCGACATGAGCAAGCAACCGAAATCGTACAGTAACGATTCGCGGAACATCTTCTCCGCATCCTCCTCTTCAACGTGACCACCGGTGGACAGCGTGAGTTGACCGCAGTGATACAGCAAATCCACCAAATGGGTAACGAACCATTTGTTGTCACAAATGTTCTGAATGTTGTGCAGCACTTGAGGAAGATTGTTCTCCATGACTGAGAGAATAATTTTATCCAAGTATTTGTACGATGGATTCGCCCCACCGGTACTAATCCACTGCGAGAGCCAATTGTTGGCGAAGGTACCCAGCTCGTAGTACTTGCAGGTCGATTCAGTATATAATAAGTAGCCGGGGAAGTACTCGTACCAACAGGATGCACTGTTGCACTGTTCAGTCCACGTTTTACGATCACCGATCACGAACTAAAACAGAACAAAATTCGCATTAATGCAATCCTACCTACATCTCGAAAAAACAAAATATTCCCTACCTTGATTATCTCCTCCAGCTCTGGTTCCACGGCCAAAATGCCAGCATCAACCTTGGACCGGGCGTTCGCCGACCAATATTGCCATTGCGATTTGAACTTTTGAATCGACAGCCCTCCGTACACGCTATAAACCGGCATAGTTTGGAGAATCTGCTCGGCCACCTCGAAGCACACATTCTCCGAGTTGGTGTGCAACTTTAGCAGTGCTCTAGCCACATTTATTTGCCCTTGAATGATCAACCCTTTCACCACTGGCCAGTAGTCATCGCTGGAATCAACTTCCCGTCCCTGTTGCAACAGTTCCGTCGCCAGTCGCTCTGCCGTTGGAAAGTGGAACCGCACCCAATCGAGTAAATTCGGAACCACCGCATTGGCCGAACTGGCATCGATAATCAAAATTTCCACCAGATGCCAAATGGATTCCACCGAGTAGAAGATGGTCACATAGTTCCGGTATTGTTCCACATCACGCAACTCGTTGCTGGCAATCAAATCTTGCAGCTTCTCCAGGCAAGCCCGGATCGCACTGCGATAGCTTCGGGAAATTTTCAAATAATCAATGGCAGCAGCAGGGGAACTGTTTCGAACTATCTGGAGGTTCAAGAAAACGTTGCTACATTCCGTAACCAAACTACGCAGGATCGGTTCATCCAGTATGAAGTTCGTAGTCAAATGGTACACATTGACGGGGGAATTGTTGGGAGGACGCCTGTCGACAGATTGCAGCAGCTGATTACTGTAGGCGGTGACGGAAATTTTATCCTCCGTGAACCAAGCTGCCGTAATGCCATGTCGCTTGCCGAAATCACAGGGAATCGTCTATAAGATGATACTTTTAAAATAAACATGGCAGTAAACGACAGTAAATGTACTTACAAATGTTGGACAGCTTTCCTTTAATGCCATCTTGCGTAGAAAATAGTTAAATTTACACAAAATTTGTTATTTTATTAGTGGATACAACAGCTACTAACAGTAGAAGAGCGGCGATCGTTGCGCGTTGTTGACATGAGGTTATGTTTACATTGAAAATGTCAAACATGAATAGAACCTTGGGGACACTTCCCGGGAATTCCATCTTTTTGAAAATCCGGAATAAATCGATATTGTACTATTTAATATGAGCAGACTATTTTTTATCACTAAAAAAACATCGATTTTCGGTGTAAAAGGTCGTCTCAGAACTGTTCGACAGTAAGATTAATTTCCAATTAGTTTTTCTCGCTTTTTTCACGGAATTATTCTAGTCGAAATTCTAGTACTACGCAATGTTTGTTTTGATTCGCTATGAAAGTTTGACAGATAAAATGAGGGGTTATTGGTTTTTCCTATGTTTCGAGGGGTGAATCGATTAGCTTGGGACCGAAGAGAGTACCAGAGCTGAGCCAAAAAGTTGAGCACGTTATTTCGGGACCTTCTAGTCTTAGAGTTACCTCTATGCTAATACCATAGAGGTAACTCTAAGACCGCTGGGTCCCGAAGAAAATCATTATTATTTTTGGCTCACTCAGTACCAGAACAACGGTCCCAAGCAGTCCCAAGCTATTTCACTCACCCCTGCATGTTCTGCATGAATCCACACACCCCTGATGTTATCTGTCAAACTTTCATAGCGAATCAAAACAAACATAGTGTAGTAATAGAATTTCAACTAGAATAGGGTACGTTAATCGTTTGCTTGGGACCAATAGGCTACTAAAGTGGTGAGCCAATTTAAAATCGTTAGTTTCGTATTGATTGTTGCTAATACCTTGTTCAGACTACAGAGTTATAACAACAATCAATACGAAACTATCGATTTTAAATTGGCTCACTACTTGACTAGCCTATTGGTCCCAAGCAAACGATTAACGTACCCCATTCTAGTCAAAATTCCAGTACTACACAATGTTTGTTTTGATGATTCGCTATGAAAGTTTGACAGATAAAATGAGGGGTTAGTGGATTTTCCTATGTTTCGAGGGGTGAATAGATTAGCTTGGGACCGAAGAGAGTACCAGAGCTGAGCCAAAAAGTTGAGCACGTTATTTCGGGACCTTCTAGCATAGAGGTAACTCTAAGACTAGAAGGTCCTGAAATAACGTGCTCAACTTTTTGGCTCAGCTCTGGTACTCTCTTCGGTCCCAAGCTAATCGATTCACCCCTCGAAACATAGGAAAAACCAATAACCCCTCATTTTATCTGTCAAACTTTCATAGCGAATCCAAACAAACATTGTGTAGTACTAGAATTTCAACTAGAATGGGTTACGTTAATCGTTTGCTTGGGACCAATAGGCTAGTCAAGTAGTGAGCCAATTTAAAATCTTTAGTTTCTTATCTAGTTTCTTATTGATTGTTGCTTCTAATCTTAGAGTTACCTCTATGGTTTAAGCTAGAAAAATCTTGAATTTAATTCATAATTTTCGCAAAATTACTGGTAGAAGGTCGTCCAAAAGCTGCTCGAAAATATTTTTAATTTACCATATCATTCGAGCAGTTTAAATGACGTTTCATACCACTTAAAGACCAACAATTGAAATGGCCTCAACTCCATTTTGTAAACAAACCTTGTAAGGCCATTTTCTCGTAAACCGAAATCTACATTCGCGAACCGAAACCACAACCGGGTACAGGAGAATTCCCCCTACCTGTTCATTCTGTTGGTTTCCCTTGGCGGACTTCGGTTCGCGAGAAAATGGCCTTACAAGATTTGTTTACAAAATGGAGTTAAGGCCTTTTCAATTGTTGGTCTTGACTTAAACTTCGAAATAAACAAGATTTCGAATTTGTTTCTGGAACCAAGAGAAAAGTAGCCGAAAGTTGTGCTTTTCATATTAAAATATTAATTTTTTGGTCCAGGTGGAAGGTAGGAAGTTACGCTAAAACTACTTCACACGAGGCTTCACACTTAGAAAATAATACCAAACTCCGTTTAATTTGCTACCGAACGACTTCAGTTTCTAACGAGAAACCGAATAATTCATTTAAACACTAGCTTCAACGTATTTTTTCAAGCAATTTTTTTCGAGGTAAACCCGAATTTTGGTTACAATGGGATAAATTTTACATATTGAGGCCCTTATTACGGGTGTCACTTCACGATGAGTTCGAAGTGAAGTGACAACGGGGAAGTGATTCCCATTTGATTTGCCCGGGAATTATATCACCGTGAATGACAACTTGTCACTTCACTTCATTTTCATCATTTTTCAAATATGGTAAAGTAGCGATATTTACGAATCGATTATTCGCTAAACATTCTTAAACGTAAAATTTTAACCGAATCACTCGGTTTTCTAAGATGTTATGAAAAAATCAGAGAAATCGTCAGTGAGTTTTTTCGCGTGTGCAACATGATAAACATTCATTATTTTGTCACCAGAAAGTCTGGCGAAATTGAACAAGTCATGCGAACACTGAGAAAAAGTCAATGATTGTTTCTATGTGTTCCACACATAGATTTTTGCAATTAGATTTATGATATAGTTTCTATATGCCAGACACATAAATCTCACTTGCACATATCACCTCTATATGTGCTCACACATACTGTTTATATGACACATAATCTGTATGTGTTTTGTTCCATGATATCTAATTTTGTGTAGCCAAATGAATATGATGGTTAATATTTTATAGAAATTTTCAATTAGTTATGTGTGGATTTTTACTAGTGTAGGATTATAAGAAATAAGTAAGCCATGCATCTTAACAAAACTGGAATTTATTTCTAAAAACTCGAAGCAACTAATATTTGGAATGGAATTCAGGTGAATCAGTTTGTTAGACAGCGTTCGGTAATACCAAAGAAGAATACTAAGATAAAACTGTCAGAAGAAAAACTTTCTATTTTAGTGTCCTCGTTCATCCAAAAAATACCCCCCCGTATGCATGGTAATTTTGTGGATTTCTGCTCCCTCGGTAGAGATGAAATTTTGCGCTCTTTTTTTATCTAAACAATCACACCAAAATCAGAGATATCCCATTTTATATTTACTCGAATAACAACTAATCACAGGACTGACATCAAATGTTTCCACTATGGGATTTCACAAATTTGACAGTACCCTCTTAACTGGTCTATAAATTTATGGCCCATAACAAACTTGAACAACACATACGAACTTTGCGGCTGTATTGCATATTTTACAGCTGCCGCTTACATCGTATGTGTTTGTTTTGCGTTGGTTGTAAGTGTGTGAGTGAAAAATAGCAGACAACAGAAAAATGCTGGCTTAGCAGCCCCTTGCAACTAATCGATTATTTTTTGTTCGCTTTGCTGTCATTTTCCAACAAATAGGAGTGCAATACATGCATAGAGGTAACTGGTAACTGATAACTGTTGGTACATGTTTGAAAAGATGGGTGATGATCCTCTGGAAAAGTTAATGCTATAGAAATAAACACGAGTGGTCACCGGTTTGTAATACTTGAGTAAACCGATGTTTGGTTATTCCCTTTTTTATTTTTACAGTGTAAATGTAATGTTTTAATTTAAACTATATAAATAATTTTATAAGAAATATGATGATCGAGAAAAAGCTGCTAAAGGTTATTCCTGCTTGAATTTATTTTTTGTCACCCGAGTTTTAGCGGTAACTTTGACAGCTTGTGGGAAAAGAAAATTAAACGAAAGCTCGGTTGTTCCTACATGAACTGAACAGGCTACCGAGAATTCAGCAGATAAAAACTCAGTGGAAATTAAAACGAGTTCGGCATTATTTTCTAAGTCTAACTTTGAGGTCCATTAAGCATAAAACCAAATTCGATTGATCACTAGGTTAAATGAGTCATTGTACGAGCTTGCCTAATAAACAAATACCATAAATGAACGATAACTCAAATTCTAGGACTATTCCACAAATGGTTCGGATGAAACGTCCTTAAGTAGAATAACTAAATAAATTTTATTAGGGTTACCACTACATCGGAGATTTGCTCGTTGAGGGATAGTTCTCAGGCTAGTTAGTTAGGGTGCTTTTCAGTTGGGTGTTCAACTTTGGTGTTCAATTTGGGCAATTAAAAAGCATCTGAATGTTAGATTCTCATGTCAAAATAGATTTGACAATCAACCATGAATTCCTCCTAAGCATCCCTAAAAAAATACCATAAACGAATGATTACCCAAACGATTGAACTATTCCACAAATGGTTTGGATGATACCACAAACACGTCGTTAAGCAAAATAACCATTGCAATTTTATTAGGGACATGCGTTTTGAACTGCGCATTCAATGTAGTGAATGGAAATGTGATATTTGTTCGAAACATTTGAATGTAATTTGAAAATCCAGAACAAAACAAAAACACATATTAACCGCATCACTAGCCGCATCAGTATTACGCTTTTTCCCCTCAGTTTCAAGCAACTGGCTTCAATCCGAATTTTATTTGTGTTAAATCTTCTTCGTCGAATTTCGGCTGTATTTGAATATTTGGTAGAATTAAGAACGTCCAAAAACTGCTCGACTATATGATTATTGGCAACTTCTTTCATAATATTTGAACGGGCCCTAAAGTAATTTTGAACTGCACGAATAAAGTGACCGAATCCTTTCTAAAAATAGGCAACCTTGTGACGATGAGTCAACTACTATCACATGTTATCAATTAAAAAGTGACAGCTATTTATTTACGTCCTCATAGTTTTGGCTCGTGTTTGGTTCGTTCCACCTTGAAATTTTAAATTTTACGAAAATTCCCCAAATAATATCAACATAATGACCACAACGAAAGATAAACCCGAGGTTGAATACTCTGAGTGGTCACCGGAAGATGAAATTCAGCTGTTTTTCGCCATGGATGGTCTTCGACCGGTCGGTATCAACCGGCATTTCACAATCGCGTGCATTGTCGAACGACTTTCGAAGGCACTGAATCGGGACGTCAGCAGCGAATCTGTTTGGTCCTATCTGAAAACCATGTACAATCTGAAGGCATTGGACGAGCAGGAACAGCATTCCTATCCCACTGAGGAAAGTGATTTCAGTTTACCGGAGGCAGAGTTCTCCACCGTAATGAAACGGAAATCGATCGAAGAACCCATTATGGAAGATAGTAAAAAGGCGGACCAAACCAAAATTACGGAACCGATTACGAAGCCTAGCAAGTTTCCCCTTGACGGTCACCTAGAATTGATAATTGACCTTGAGCCTTTCTTCTTTGTAGCTAAAGAAAAAGAAACATCCGATAAGGAAAAATCGGTTGAAAAGGAAAAGGATACCAAATCAAGCAAAACGAAAATCGACAATCAGGACAGCACTCCAAAGCGACCCCAAAAGCGAACCCGAGGATCCATGTCGCTTGAGCCGAATGCTAGCAGTCCCGCCAGTACACCACCGAATGTACAAAGCAGCAAAAGGCGACGAATTTAGGGTTTACTGGATTGTCCGGATGATAAGGACAGTGATCGAAGCTCTGACTACAGCGTAAAATAGGTATTCGACATTGCAGTAAGTTTAGCATAATAATTAGTTTTAAAAGGAAGTTTTCAATAAAACAATAATACAGATGATGTATTATTATACATTTAATGCAACGATTCCTTATATTGTGAAACTTACCTGCTCTTTGGGATTCTCTTTTATCCTGATATTTGAATGGCTTGCTCCCGTCCTCGTGAAGGATTTCAAACTGAACAATGTAAAAGGTCCCATATATCCATTCTCTTCAACGGCTTGCTCTTTCATCTAGGTACCTAGAACATTTATTAACTTATTTGTTTGTCAATATCAACAGGTTCAATGTAACCCTAATGATGGGTTGATTTATAAAACCAGCATTGAGCCTGTTGATGTTGACAAACAAAAATATAACTGAATCAAGTAGATGGCCCACCTTACCCTATAACGAAGCTACAAAAAACCGTCGTGGGTGTCAGACAATAACACTTTTTCTATCGAACCAAAGCCACCATCGTCTCGTTAGCTGTCAGAAGTACTAGAAGTTTTTTTTTATAAACTTTATTATAGAGATTTTTAGCCGTAGGCTAGTTCATCTCTTATAGTACTAGAAGTGGGTGGGACAATTAGGACATGTCCTATGCATTAAAATGCCCGTTTAGGACAGTCAAGGCAATGTTATACTCACGTTTTTATATTTTTATAGAGAATTTAATCAAAAAATATCGAACAATTTAAATATTTTTATAAGTTTGTATTCATGGTTTCAGGTTAGCTCAGTTCAAATCTATTTTTTCACACCACATGAAAACCCTTCTGGAGTAACTCCGGAAGCTATGAGTGCATCACGATTTATTCAAAGAGTGGGAAGCATTACTTTTGTAAAATTATCTGCTTCTTTGAGCCAATTGTAAGAAATACTTCAGTCAAACACTTTTCATTCTGATGAAAGTTCTTAAATTACTGCAGTAACATTTTACTGTTCCCAGTAAAATCATGCTCTGTTGAAAGATCCTTTTCAGTAACGAAGCTCAGTAATATGGAATGCATAAGTAGGTACAATGAGCCATGATGTGTCAAACACAAAATTCACAACCTCTTCTTGTTGTAATTGTAATTATTCCGTGCATATTTTCCATACCTTCCGCTAAGTTAGCGTATCTACTACTAAATTATCTAAATTGTGAAAAGTTTGTTTGATCTGTGTTGAATAGCAGCACTTCAACGTACCTCCACTATATAAGTGCGTTTACACTAGTAGTTTTATATCAATATAATTTAATTTATCATTCTTTAAAGCAAAATGTTTTAATCTTTATTACTGCAAAACTTCTATTTGAAACAAGATGCCCTAAATTGGTCATAACATAATTGGCATATCGAGGGGCCTCATAACCTAGTTAGTAAAGGCACGGTATTACCAAGCCGGAGGCGGCGGGTTCGATTCCCGGTCCGGTCGAAGGAATCTCTCGGGTAATTTTCTCGACTTCCCTGGGCATAGAGTATCATTGTGCTTGCCACACAATATACAAATTCATGCATTGGTATTGGCATCGAAAGCTCTCAATTAATAAATGTGGAATTGCATTTAGAACACTAAGTTTAGAGCACACAATAAGCTAATATACACTACGCAATAAGCTTGAAATGCAAATAAGAAGAAGAAGAATAATTGGCATATCAACACACTTAGTTTTTTTCTACCGAGCTCGGCTGTGCAAATCTCGTCAAAAAAAGGTTTACTGAGATCTCAGCAAACATTTTATTTGTTTGCTGGGATTCAGCTAATCATTATCCGAGACTCAGTATGGCCATAACTGGTACACCTAACCCTATTACATTCTCTCAATATGATCATTTAACGTGTTATTTCTAGCCTATCTGAACTATTCAATAAACCAGGGCTGTCATCTGATCACTCAATGCGCGCAATGTTCTGATTTTCTTAAATATACAAAGTGAGAATCAAGCAAATACAAAGTTGGCTTGTTTTTCACCCTGCGCAAGTGTATAGCAGCGGAGAAGAGAAGACAGACACACACACCCAGAAATAACGAAAGCTCAATGTGTACCCATCGCTCCGCCGGCTCCGACGCAAAGAGCGCGACTCAGTGTAGAGTTGCAAATGGGAAACAGTCCCAAAATTGGAACTTATTTAGTAAGAAACTGACTTCGCACAAACCATTTGAAGTTTATATGGAAATTACTATGGGAATCCAACTTTTTTGTTCATATCCATCAATCAACTCACCGTATCACTCTGCGTAGAAAATGGTAAATGTGCTAGGAAATTTCCTCAGCTACAACATTGTTCTAGATTACTTTTCGATCAAATGTAAGGAACAAAAGTTATTAATGATTAAAGTCACTAATGTCTTATGATTATGCTCAATCAACTGCAGGCAACATTGTTGTTTCTGGCGTGTAGAATACACAGCAAAAAAATGTAATATCGATCAACGTAATTCAAGCTGATGTATGAAATTATGATGCAATAGCAAAGAGCAGATACAATATTATATCAATGGATGTAAATTTGTTCGCAAAATCGATGTACCAACAGATGTACATCGTACAATGTGATATTACACAACCGATGCACTATGGGCAAAAATGGGTCCAAAATTACCCAAAATTCAATATCTTAACAGCACGCTGAATTCCGGCCATGAAAAACAACTTTTCCGAAGGGAAATTGTCCGGGGAATCGATTGCACGTGGTCCTATAGAACGGAGAGCCTTACAGGTATGTGTTTTGGACCATTTTACCCCATTTCCCCTACTTTTTGGAGGAAATGTTTTTTTACAGCTCTATTTTTCGTAAAACAAGCACTTTATGCATGGTTTGAAAATACTATATCTTTAAACAACAGTTCATAAGATATTAGGAGAATACGGGGTACACTGTATAGGGGAGTAAGGGGTCAATGTGAAAATGCAATCAATGTTTTTTAATACAAAATCAATTCTTTTAAATATCATATTTTTTCTGAAATTTTTTTTAATTAGCTTTCATTTGGTATTTTGAGTACCGTCATCAGCCAAACACTTCAAGTTATAATTTTTTGAAAAAAAATCGAAAAAAAAATTTTGACCGCGCTAATATATAAATAGCAAAGATGAATACTAAGATGAAACTGTCGGAAGAAAAACTGTCTATTTTAGTGTCCTCTTTCACGGTCCCTTTTATCCAATGAATACCCCTCGTATTCCAGGTAATTTTGTGGTTTTGCTACCCCCTCGGCAGAGATGAAATTTTGCGCTCATTTTTATCAAAACAATCACACCAAAATCAGAGATGTCCCAGTTTTTAATTACTCGATTAACAACTAATCGATTATTTTTTTGTTCGCTGTGCTGCCATTTTTCCACCAATGAGAGTGCAGAACATGTTTGAAACGATCGGTGATAATCCTCTGGAGATGTTAAACCTTATATCGGCATGCTATAACCAATAACAAATATTTTACTTTTCGGTTCGTTAATCAATTAATCGATTATTCGAATGAAAATCGGCCATCACTAGATGAATGTGAAACGTCATTTAAAGATAAGGACCGTACATAAATAATGATACAATTTGAAAGGGACCGGGGCTAATCACAAATTACGTCCCCACGGTAACTGAAATAAACACGAGTGTTCACCGGTTGTAAATAGTCACCCTAATGACAAAATACAACATATGGGTCTAATATGTTGCGATAAGGAACAAAACTACCATTTTTTACAAAATTCTGAGAACCACTATATCGTTTTGCTGTATACAGACAAAAAAAGTGAAAACTCTTTTAAAACAGATAGCAGTAAATTAAAACTTATTTAACCCCAATTAACCTTAAAATTTCGAAAAAAGAAATCTTATTATTGCAGGCAACCTTTGGGGTCATTCAAACAACCGCATCGTTCAACATTTATATGAATTAAAATAAATTTAGCGAGGGTTCACTTTTACCCCTTACTCCCTTATAAAGTGTACCCCGTATTCCCCTAATATCTCATGAACTGTTGTTTAAAGACATAGTATTCTAAAACCATGCATAAAGAGCTTATGTTTTACGAAAAATAGAGCTGTGAAAAAACATTTCCTCCAAAAAGTAGGTGAAAATGGGGTAAAATGGTCCAAAACACATACTTACAAGGCTCTCCGGTCTATAAGACCACGTGCAATCGATTCCCCGGACGATTTCCCTTCGAAAAAGTCGTTTTATGGCCGGAATTTAGCGTGCTGTTGAGATATTGAATTTTGGGTAATTTTGGACCCATTTTTGCCCATAGTGCGATGAATTGACCTGGTTGCAGCAGTTTCGATGTAATATTAAACAACTTTTTTTTGCTGCGTAGAGCGCAGCGCAACGAATAGAGCCAAACGAACTGTCAAAGCAAGAGTCATACGAGCAGCGCCTATCTTGATTACATTGGCAGTGTTGCTGACCCTCTCATAGTCTGCATGCTTTAATCAGATTTATTTTTATTGTTCGTGAAGTAACCCACAATGAAAACACACCAATATTTAATGTAACAACAATTTTTATTGTTATAGAGTTGTTTATTATTGTTCGTGATCGAATCATGTTAACAATAAAATAAATGAAAAATACAATAAAAATCATTGTAACAACATTTTATTATGTACATTCATTGTACAGCTAGGTAGCAGTTTTGCCGTTTTCGGAAGGGTACAACATTATAACAATCATTTTTATTGTCGACAATAAATATTAATGTTAGAGCATTGTTTCCACTGAAAATTTCACTGTAATTTTTTTTTTCGGGTAATGATAGGTAGTCTCATCTCGGGATAGTGAGAGGACCTGTTTTCTCATCGTCACATGACGGCCGTGATATTTTCCAGCTCTGGGCAAGAAAGCATTCCCAGCAGTAGCCACCAGTGACTATAACTTGAAAAGGCAATGGCAACAAAGGACCAGAAGCAGAAGAAAGCTGTGGAAAAGAAGCAATGAAAGATCTGCATTTGTATGATTATTACTCTATTGACGTTTTAAATTAATTAAGTTATAGTCGTTAACATACCAATTTAATTTTTCATGCACAAAACGAAAAA